CCCCAACACCAACACACACACATTAATGTTAGCATTGTCAATAGTCGTAGGCTTTAGAAGCTTAGTGCATGAAATTCAAGGGTAACACAAATTAAATTTTGGGAATGAACCAAAAAAAGCAATAATTGATCTCAAAAGAGAAAATAATAGGCGTGTGTAAATAAACTAAAAGGTCCATAATGTGCAAAAGACTTCCAATTACAAAGTGATGTGTATACACGAAAAAAATCAGATCTTTAATCATCTGATTGCAGAAGTTAGTGTTGGGTCGGTATTAGATCCACTTCTGCAAAATAAGTCTGGATATCTGTAAAAATTCACTGATCACAAGCATCGGTAAAATTATGAGTTCCTAACAAGGATCGAACTAGAACGTTTGCGTTCACAGTCATCCAAGTCCAACCCCACTTTGGCCTTCTGCTTAAGCAAAAGTGTTAGAGTTGTTCTACGGTCAAAAAAAAAAAAAGTCCAATCCTATAGCATTGGGCTACCCATCCATATTGTGTAGGATGTATTTAACGTTGGAATAGTCTGCAAATCATTTTGTGGGGGTAAATAAAGATAACATTACTAAAAGATCACCTATATATACTATAGTTAAGGCGCCAAAATATAAGTCATAGAGAGATATTCACTGAAAACAAAACCACCTAATGTAGGAGATCACGAGTCGTGATACTAAATAACAACATTTTAGATTTGATGTGGGGTAGAGGGTTTTTATGCTGCGAGAATCATGGAACGACGAGTAACAACTTCTTGTCATTTTTTTTATTATTGCTGGGCCGGCCAACAAGTGAAGTGAGTTCTAGTTGAAGATTCAAAATCACATTTGGACTGGAAAAATGCATAGCTGAATACCATGCATAAAGTTGGATTCTCAGCTATTACAATTCTGAACAGAAATTGGCAAAATATGATTATCACTTTTGCCTTTGCATATTGACATAAGGATCCTATTGTATGATTTGGCTTTAGGTTAAAAGTAAATTGAACTTTTATTGTTCAATGATTACCATAAGTTTTCTCCTCTTTTCAGGAGGAGCTATATATGCTCTTATCTGCCAAAGTGCAAACTTTCCACAAGCGACATGCTCTAATGAGCCCACCCTGTCTAAAAGCCATGTTAGAGATAATGAATCCAGCAATTGCCAGTTTGCAACTGCTCATTTTATTTTTCTTTTTTATTTTTTTCTCTTTTTCTTTGTCCTAGGTAGAACCCCATCTGCACCACAATGCCTGCCCTACCATCAGGCCATGAGATGCTGACCAAATGCTGATGTCCCGTTAGAAATAACCCTCTCCTTCTATTTTCCCTCTGCGTCCACTCAAAAAATTGTTANAACCCCATCTGCACCACAATGCCTGCCCTACCATCAGGCCATGAGATGCTGACCAAATGCTGATGTCCAGTTAGAAATAACCCTCTCCTTCTATTTTCCCTCTGCGTCCACTCAAAAAATTGTTATAGATGCCTTGTTCCTTAGTCGGTTTATACTGTACCAACATATTACCTTACCATCGGTTCACAATCTGTAGTTTGTTGAACCTTTGAGAAAATTGGTTGAATGGATTAAAGGCAAAATGTTCCAATCTCTTGAGATGTGAGAACCGTAGTTAACTAGTCATTGAGATGTACATATTGTTTGTGCGGATCGTGAATATGATTTATTTTTCCTGCTTTGCGGTTGGTGTCATAGGCATTCTATGTAATATGTTCTTCTTTGAATAACAATCACAGGTTGATTACAAAACTAAATGTGTTTGTCATTTTGGAAATAGAAGAGTGAGACCCCTGTAACAATGGTAATGTGTCTTGTGGCAGTTGATGTACTGTAGGACTTAATATGCTAGCTTATAAATTTCAATGTAGGCAGCAAACTTTTGACATTTGTCAATTAGTAGTTCCTTATTTACTGAACTTTCAACTTCGGATTCATGTTGAGGTTACTGGTCATTTCATAGGAGAAATTATAAATTTGATTCAACACTGTCACACCAATTCTACAATTTTAAACCAAGGGTTAAGAGCATGACATGCTTGATGATTTGTGCAAATGTTAGTTAAAACAAGGTCCGAACACTCAGAATTGTAAACTTCTCGTGCTTATAAGCTACTATTACCTTTTTTACCCAAAGCGACCCACCATCTGTCAGGGTGGGGTGACTAGCCCCAAAAACATTTTCTAAGTATCCTTTCCATAATCTATCATGTTCACAAGTACAAAACATACCTTAGCATCAATAATAAAAGCTAGTCATTAAAAATAACATGAGTGTTATTGTGGTTCTGTAACCATGAAGTGAAAGCACCTCACGATCAGTCTACAACTTCACCAAATCTGAAGATAAAGGGGCACTGAAATAACTGAGACAGATTTCTTGGATGATGATTGATTTTGTGGCATGCCTGCTTGAAGATAAGTATGGCTTTAGTGGACTCTGTTCCCTTTCTCAACAAAACTTACATTGGCATATATTAATTTCCCACATGCATGCATAGATTGCTACTGATCAAGACTTAACCCACCTTGGATATGCAAGCAGGAGCTATTATCGTTGTACACAGGACAACTGCCGTGTAAAGAAACGTGTGGAGCGATTAGCAGAGGATCCAAGAATGGTGATAACAACGTACGAAGGGAGACATGCGCATTCTCCATCGCACGATGAGGATGATTCTCAAGCTTCCTCACAACTGAACAATTTCTTCTGGTAGTGTCTTGAACTCTTAATAGTATCATTGTTCTCCTCCTAAGTAATGGTAATGTACAAGCTTCCTTGCCTTTTAATGCTTGGAACTTCGAGAATAAGAGTATTCTGAGTGTTTAAACCAGTATATATATGCCCTTGTTCTATAGGGCCTCTTGCTAAAATGCTGGAGTAAAAAACTTGCTTGTTTTGCTCTAAAACTTGGTGAAAAGAAATGCTGAGATGCCTTGTAGATTACGAATAAATATTCAATTCACCATTACATTGAATATTTACTTGTAAACTACCCCGGTGAAGGTTTCACGATAGAAGAACAATGTGGCCAAATGGGATTTTTTCTGAGGGTTGTGACAATGAATTATGTAGCGTTAATTATTTTGGTGTATATTTGTAGTGAACTCTTTGATAAGGATCTGTATTGGATTGTACCATCCTATCCTATATAGAGTGGACGCATGATTATGAGTGAGGTTGCAGTTTTTTGATTGACTTGTGAGAGTGGTTAACAAATTAGAGCCAGCTTAAAATGATGGTTTGGGCGGACTGCTGGAAGACTTGGAATCATTGTTATCTTTGTTGTTTTTATTAATTTTGCCCGGCATGTCATTTTTAGACTTGGTCCAAAGCTTTGTACACCATTTACACCACGTATATGGCTCAGGGCGGCCCAACCAGTATGGGGCCTTGTGTGAAAATATTCACANAAGCTTGGCATGCAGATATTTACACCACGTATATGGCTCAGGGCGGCCCAACCAGTATGGGGCCTTGTGTGAAAATATTCACAGGGTCCAGTGTTGTGAAATATATTAATATAGATATTTAATATAAATATTAATATATATTTATTTAAAAATTATTTTTCTTGTATTTGAGATGTAAAGTTACCAGTTTTACATTCAAACTTTAATTATAAAAAATTTATTAATTAAAGTTGAATTTGGAGACTAAAACATAATTAACTATGTTGTCAGTTAAAAATATAGAGAAAGAAATTAAAATTTATTAATAAAATTATATTTTTTGAAGAAAGAATGTGAGTAAGAATTTTAAATGATAAGCTACTCAAACTCGATTTTTATTTCTGTCATTTAGATAAATAAAAAAAAAGGTCTCAAATTTAAGTTAAAAAAAAATAATTCATAAAAATTATGTGATAAATAATTAACCAGCCAATTAACTTGAATTGTATGCAGGGGAATAATTCATTTTATCAGTATTTATATAACCATAAGTAAGACTAAAAAAAATAAAAAGGTAATATAAGAATATTAATTCGATGGTATCGTATCATGTAAAGGTAGTTTAACGAATTTGTATCATGTTTTGTTAGGGTCATGTCAATTTGTTGATTTGGGGGGCCGAATAATTGTCTAAATCTACTAAGACTATACTCAAACTCGTTACTTTTCTATCAATTTGTTATTGGCTTATAGATTATACTTAAAATTACAAGACTAATTAAAATTAAGAGCCCTAAAATTATTCTAATTGAATCTTAAAAAAAAAAATTAGGGAACATGGGACCTAGGCAAGGGCCCTTAGTAGTCTATACCTAGAGCCGGCCCTGGTATGACTACGATCTATCTTTGAGCTTTGGCAAATTAATTAATTAATCTACTTTTTTATTTTTCGTTTCTATAGCAAAGTAAAAACTATTGCCATTGATAGAGTGTAATGGAAAAATAATATTTATGTAGTTGACCTTAAATAAGTGGGATTATTCATCTGCATATATATAATTGTCACCAACTTCTATCAAAATTGTAAGATCGACATAAAATCAAGGAAGTGCAAGCTGGTCTATTGGTCAAAATTTTATTACGTTATTAAATATTAGGTATTGTTGGCTGTCACGAGAATAGAAGACGATGATGTTAAACCCCATTTTGTAATGGTTTTTGTTTTTTGTTTTTTATTTGTTATTTTTAATTTTAGTTTTGTCAAAAAAAAAAAAAAAACAACTCTTTTGGTATTTATTTTTGCTTTTTTTTTCCATCTAATTTGTTTTGAAAACAACTCCCAAATTTGTAAACAAAAAATTGGTGTTTACTAAAACACCGAAAACAAGAAACACATGCACGCGTGTTGGCCCTTAATGAGGTCTCTCCAACGAACCCTCTTAACAACAAACTAAAACAANGCCACGAGAATAGAAGACGATGATGTTAAACCCCATTTTGTAATGGTTTTTGTTTTTTATTTTTTATTTGTTATTTTTATTTTTAGTTTTGTCAAAAAAAAAAAACAACTCTTTTGGTATTTATTTTTGCTTTTTTTTTTTTCATCTAATTTGTTTTGAAAACAAGTCTCAAATTTGTAAACAAAAAATTGGTGTTTACTAAAACACCAAAAACAAGAAACACATGCAGGCATGTTGGCCCTTAATGAGGTCTCTCCAACGAACCCTCTTAACAACAAACTAAAACAAATTTTGGTGAAAATGTAAATGGCTCGTTTGATAGACGTATGATGAGAGGATTAAATATTAAATTGTACTATTTTTTATTTAATCAGGTCTAATACTTTATTTTATAAGCAAATTTGATATTGTATTAATTTTAAAAATTTATATTTATCATATTTAACAATGCACGACGTGCGTTGCACATAAATAAATTTAAGTAATATTTTTTATATAAAATGAAATTACACATAATTAATTTATATTTTAATTATTACTAAATTTAATTATTAATTTATTCTATTAAAACTTTGAATACCTAATCTTTCATTTATTTAGGTATCTTTACGACCCTTTTAGATGCACACTAATTATATTATAGAATTATTAATTATTAGTTTTTAAAATGGATTGATTAGATCGTTTATAATACTATTATATTGCTAAATACTAAAAAATAAAATAAAATATATTTTTGACCATGAAATCCAATCTAATAACTACATTTATATAATAATTTAANTCCGACCCTTTTAGATGCACACTAATTATATTATAGAATTATTAATTATTAGTTTTTAAAATGGATTGATTAGATCGCTTATAATACTATTATATTGCTAAATACTAAAAAATAAAATATAATATATTTTTGACCATGAAATCCAATCTAATAACTACATTTATATAATAATTTAACATATATATACAATTTTTATGACACCCTAAAATTCGGGAGTCCTTTCTTAATCTGTTGATTACCTATCAAATCACAAAATACCTGTGGCTACCGTATATTCATCGGGATCATAACTAAAATGAAATTTGGATAGAACCTCCTTTGCATGGAAGCACTACCCAACACATAACCTGTTTACATACTATTCATAGAGCTCTTCCAATACCCAAACTCCAAAGTTTAGGATTTAATATTATTCATTTACATCAACCAAGGAAAAACGTTCAAGACGTGAAGGTTCGGTGATGTTACTGACTTGATCTGATATGTGTACACCCAAGTGCAGGCGATCAACTTATAGTAATAATCCGGTTAAGTCTAGAGTCGAATCCATAGACAACTATTGTTGGTGCTTTGAAGCAAGCAGTGACAGAGACCATGTGACTGTAACCTTTGAGATTTATAGTGATGATGTTTAGAGATTTTTCTGGGCCAAATATATCATTATTTCCAAGAAGTTTTTCTAGAAAAAATATAAGATAAATTCAAATGTAAATAGTCACTCTTTAACTCGAGGATCTGAACATGTAGTTAATCATCCGGTTTACTATACTTGTGCTTGGTAACTCAATTAACTCCCGTGTCAACAGCAANCCTTTGAGATTTATAGTGATGATGTTTAGACATTTTTCTGGGCCAAATATATCATTATTTCCAAGAAGTTTTTCTAGACAAAATATAAGATAAATTCAAATGTAAATAGTCACTCTTTAACTCGAGGATCTGAACATGTAGTTAATCATCCGGTTTACTATACTTGTGCTTGGTAACTCAATTAAATCCCGTGTCAACAGCAATTTAATCAAAAGATAAAGGTGGATTGTGATAATTAAGTGCATGGTTCCGATATCTTTCTAGAAGTTTACAAGAATTGTTTGTGCCGAGACTCAACTCGTCTACAAACAAGCAAGCGTTTTTACAAGGCATCCAACCATAATATTAATATTTCATCCTTTAAATGAAGTTCAATAATGGTGAAGAATGAAGGGTAGNACTCCCGTGTCAACAGCAAGTTAATCAAAAGATAAATGTGGATTGTGATAATTAAGTGCATGGTTCCGATGTCTTTCTAGAAGTTTACAAGAATTGTTTGTGCCGAGACTCAACTCGTTTACAAACAAGCAAGCGTTTTTACAAGACATCCAACCATGATATTAATATTTCATCCTTTAAATGAAGTTCAATAATGGTGAAGAATGAAGGGTAGTCATAAAGATCTAGCTGGGGGTACTTGCCTTGAACTAATGAGTCTTTCTATTCAAGAGTCATCTATATTATAGAAAGTACTCACGGTTATACAAAGTACCTTAGCTTTGCTAGATGCAGTCAATCATTCAATAAACAAGTGAAATATAAAGCATTTAAGCATAAATAAAATGCACAAAAATAACTTTTGGATAATTTATACATGTCCATCACATCTTACTAAAGAGTGAATAAGAAACTACTCACTCTTCATGGCTTTGGTAAATCTAGAAAATTAAGTGATGCACATCCCTCGAAGTAGAGGAATTACAAAGTAAAGCACAATAAACAAGGAGTCGATCTTCGACAAAGAATGAGTGAATTACATTCCACCCTTCACGGCTTTGGTAAAGCTCTAGAAAACTGAAAGAGTTTCACTCTTCTAAGGGACGAAGGAAGCTCAAGCAATAGACGTGAAAGACAATTAATGAAAGTAGAAGAAANCGCAAAAATAACTTTTGGATAATTTATACATGTCCATCACATCTTACTAAAGAGTGAATAAGAAACTACTCACACTTCATGGCTTTGGTAAATCTAGAAAATTGAGTGATGCACATCCCTCGAAGTAGAGGAATTACAAAGTAAAGCACAATAAGCAAGGAGTCGATCTTCGACAAAGAATGAGTGAATTACATTCCACCCTTCATGGCTTTGGTAAAGCTCTAGAAAACTGAAAGAGTTTCACTCTTCTAAAGGACGAAGGAAGCTCAAGCAATAGACGTGAAAGACAATTAATGAAAGT